CCTCGTGTGCAACAGAATAACACGACATGTGGTTAAACGGTGTGTAATCACAAGGCGCTAACAACACAGACTAGTCAGGTCATTTGTGTGTTCTAAGGTTGCCTTTTTTTCCTTGTTTCCTCTGCGATCATTTGCCTAAGCTTTAGTTTGTGTTTCTCGCCGTAGGAATGACTGTCAGTGCAATGGCCGCCCTTATTCTCATGACGACATCCATCTTGTCGGTGGTGGGCTCACTCTACCTGGGCTACATCCTCTACTTTGTCCTAAAGGACTTCTGCATCATCTGCATCACCACGTACGCGCTGAACTTCATTCTCTTTGTCCTCAACTACAAGCGACTGGTTTACTTGAACGAGGCCTGGAAGCAGCAGCTTCAGGTCAAGGAGGACTAAGCTGTCTGGAGCGGCAAGAAAAAGTACAACAAAACAAGAAGAAAAAAAAAGAAATGTGACCTCTGAACATTTGACTTGCCACCAGGAGACCTTGCTTCCAAACCATGTTTATTCTGCTGTGTGTTTAAAAAAAAAAAAAAAAAGGAAACTTAACTTAAGTGTTGGGCCGGACATCTCAATGTTGCAAACACGGGAGGAGTTGTGAGTGAAAGCTATTTCTTTTTTCCTTATTTAACATTGAACGCAGCAAGCAGAGGCAGAAATCCACAATACCGAACAATGGAGGACGGCGCTCTATCGAACAAAAAGGATCGCAGAACGTAAGAAACCAGGACATTAAAGGGGTTTACTTGAAACGGTTAGAGAAGTCCTATTGCTGCACGGCGGATCTGCACTAAAACTCTGACCTTAATGTGTCCCAAAATAAAACAACAACACATTAGGTCACCCTTCAGTTTGCAGATTTGGTTCAAGTACGGGTGGAAGGGGGGGGGGGGGTTAACATTTATACAGAATAGTTTGTTTTCATGTTTACACTTTGTAGTATGTTTCTTTTATGAAGAGGACCACTAAAAATCAACACAGGACAATGTGAGAAAATGTGTGTATAGATCAGTCTGATTGTTTGTCTTTGCTATTCTGTACATAGCTGCTGAGCAATATCCCAGGCTAGATTGTGATTTAGTGTTGACACAAACCTTTCAATGGCAAAAATGAAGAGCGAAACCCCCACAAACAAAAATCCAAGAAAATCTTCAGAAAATCAGGAACAAAAACAAAAGCGATAAAGGTCACTAGTAAGGGGGAGGAGTCTGAAGATGCGCTTGGGACGTCCTCCGTCCCGGGGATCCGGGTCAGCCATGCAGTTCAGAGTTGTGTGGATTTCTTTTGTTGCAAGTGGCCCTCGTTTCATCTGAAGCCACGATACGTCTTTCAAACAGAACTGGATTCTTCTCCCCATGTTTGCATAAAAGCACACTCACTCTTTTCTTTCTTGTTTTTTTTCCACTGTTTTTTTTGTTGGGTGAAAAGCATTCCTGACCTCCACACAAGTGGGACCCATAAAGACTTATGTGCCTAAAGGAGTGCTAAGGTGAATTACCTTAATTTCTTAATTTCGTTAACACCAGGTATGCTCCTTGTGTTATTGTCACAGGTCCGAGACTTTATTTTTATGATCACAGTTTTGTAAGTTAAGATACCAGTGAAGTGTTTGTCCCTCCCCATCAGTCTCATGAGGTAGCGTCGGCTGCTACACTGTGATTGTCTGCATTAAGTGTAGAGTGGCATCTCTGATCTAGCGGTTTTAAATGTGTTTAATGCTCACCTGGCTTCTGCTCTCTGTCCAGCCTGTATACCTTTGATGTCAATTGAACAGTAAGGGTTATCGGGCCTGGTGGAGTTAGTTAATTTGGAGGACGTGAACAAAACTTTGTGATGCTTTCCGTTGACCTGAGCGGGCGGCAGAGGCGTAACTCCCTGCTGGACAAAGAGAGCAGTGCATTCAGCCATGTGCGGCGTTTCTGGGAGTTTTGGATCCAGTAGGACAAACCGCCGCTGACAGCGATGCTTTCCGTGGTCTCCTAACATGGCACGGTTTGCACGGAGAGAAGTCCCAGTATTGATGGGTAAAGCAACCACTGCTGGTAGTGGCTTGCTAGACATCCACAGTATTGGCCCGTTCAGTCCAGCACAGAGTCCGACCATCGTCTCTCTCTCTCCTCCAGAGTCCACTAATTTAAAGTACGTTACCCGTCAGATGCATGGTACACTTTGCTTTTAAGCATATGTGGGACATCGGACAATCTTATACTCAAAGATCCCGAAACAGTCGTCGTAATAACTGTAACAATGTGATTCATGTGTGGTGTTAAACCGGCTTATTGATAGTTACCCGTTACTGCAAGTCTTCACGCCCCTTTACTCCGATCAGAGTTCAATTCCTCCCTGAGCCCACTGTGTGGAGTGAGGCGTGTTACGGTTTTGATGATAGCAACTGCCAGGAAAGTAACCTCAGTGACGCTTCCTCCGGTGACGTGCAAAGTCGTCGCTCGTCTGTGAAAATGGAAATTGAGGAGACGTAATCCCCGCGACATTTAGGGATATTGTCCATTAATTCATGTTGTAACCTATTTACTTTGAATCATACGGAGTCTGTTACGTTATTTGTGCCCATTTTCCTACTCGTACGTTCTTCCTATGCACCAGGAAGACGGCCATTCCCATCCACTGCACCATCTGATACACTTAATCCTTCAGTGAAGATCTATTTACTGTTCAACGTATCAATGTTTGTCCATTGGGTTTCAGTATAACCGACTGATACCTCAACTTAAAGGAGTACTCCCAACATTTCAGTATGCACTCTAATAACATTTACTCGAAATTGATGCAGCAAAACCATCTTTTTATTTATTCCATCGAGTCTTCTGTTTCGTAAAAACGAGGGCCTACAATACCCACAATGCAACTCGACGCACTGTTGATTTAGCTGGAGGTTCGAGTATGCTGTAGGATCCCCCCCCGACCTTTTATGTGTACATTTTGTGGAGTACCCCTTTAAGCACATTTCACTGTCTTTGTAGAGGGGAGGAGGGCGACGACGCTGCTTTATAAAATGGTTTGTAGTTATGTTACAATTAGTTACATGATTAGTAAGCGCAGTCCCTTTTAAACATACTGTACACTCCTCCATAGAATGGCTCAAATGTTTGCGTCATTTCTCAGCAAGTTGTCTTTAAGATCTTCCATATACTGTATTGCCTTGTCGGGCTGGCGTCAGATTCGGTTTCATCTAGACTCCGAAAGAGCTCAACAACTGCACTGTTTTGTCTTTGACTGGAAAAATCCTGCGCACTCACATGTGACTTGTGCTAGTGAATTCTTATTAATTCACTAGCACAGGTCAAACTGATGTAACGCTTAGGTTTTGTGGGGCCTGTGAGTGCTAGAACATGCATGTGCACAGGAGGCATCTTTTCATTCAGGGTTCCAGCTGTGTTAAAATAAATGGGATAGGAATTGAGGGCAAGTCAAAAGTTTGAAATCTTTGGTTGTGTGCTGATCTAATGTCAAAGGTCAAAACGATCAATACTGCACTCACGAATATTCATTTAGGCCCCGAGGTATAACTGCCATGTTAGTTGCATCATTGATGCCAACAAAAGTGCCTTCAGTTTGATCACTAGGCCATGAGCCAAAGACGAGCAACAGTAATAGCCTTGTAAGATGAACGGTAACTGTAACGGGCACTAAATGCTTGCCTTCCTTAAAATGTAATCTAATAAATTGGTAATCCCCCTCCCCCAAAGAGTTGGTATTCAGTATTAGTGCATGAGTCCATTTTCAAATTGCCAGACAAAAATGCCCTATCGAATCTAAGGTCAAACCCATTCCCCTTCCTGAACTCTATATAATTATCTTTATTTTGTTTAGCTAAAAGTACACTTAGTTTTAACTACATGATTGTAATGTTCTTTTTGTCATCCTTAATTATTCCCTTTAGCTGTATAGACTGTTAACATTCTGGGTTATTTTAACAAAAAAAAAAAGATGAGGGGTTGGGGGAGGGAGGGGGTCGAGAAATCAATGTGTCAGCATAAAATGTTTATTAAATTTCTTTGTGGAGGAAAACTTACTGGGTTTGCTTCTGTATTGCCAAATATGTTTGAAAATGCTGTCTTTTCTTACATGGAAACGTGTTACATGAATGGTAGGAGAGTGCAAAAAATAATCCATCTTACCTTAAGGGAAAACTGTGGTTGACATGAGAACATTTTTAATTGTCATTGTCATGTGGAAATGATCTACCATTAAAACATTCCCTCTGAAACTGTAGCTCATTTGAATAAATTCAACTACTGTTGTAGATAAAGTAGCACTGACCGATTTGCTGCTAAATGTAATAGTTACTGGATGATTTCTTTGTCTCAGAATAAGTCCGGTTCTGAACATTAAAACGGGTTCCTTCATTCCTCCTGTTTAAACTGGCCATTGAGAAGAAAACCTCCCCAGTGTGCTTTCAATGGGCGAGTAGACGACATCCAAAGCCCATTTGGGTGTGAAGCTCTTCCAAAGTGCTGCAAGAATTGGTGTTTGTAGTAGCACATTTCCCCTGTCAAACTGTTGCATATATATCGACACGGAACGAGAGCCGTGGATTTTCTCCATTGAAGGGAAAAGAAACTAAATTACATTGTTGTAAGACGGATCTGAATGGTTCCACTTTCAAAAGATAATGTCTACTTTGAAACCATGGAGATATTCGGATTAGTAGATTCTAATGTCAAAAGCAGTCATATCGTGGGATCCCAGAATTTCCTAATCAGGTTTATTCACTATCAGGTTTAACTTGTCTCCTCCATTGCCACACAATGGATGTCCAGGAGGCACATCGTGCCCCTTTGAGATCAACAAGTCTATCAAATCCTATACCCTCTCTAAATGTGGCCATCATTAGGTTTCAGGACTTTAATAAAAATGCACCGACAGTTCGTTGAGTTGATTTATGACACATTAATCTCCAGTTTTGCAAACGCAATTCAGCAAATGGACACATTTATCCAAAGGACTTCCAACACATTACATGCATGCTGGTAGGTGCTGTATGTTTGACAGAAATGTAAAGCGGTGTCTTAATATTGGTTCAGCTGTAACATGGAGGTCAATCCTGTGACGAGGGTCCATGCAGCCACGGAAAGTTCCAAAGCCGCAATGCACTCGTGCTGTCATCAACAATCTCGGTGTCTCTGGTTGAGCTTTAGAAGGCATTCAGTCACAGTGACTTAAGAGAATTAGCACCGAGACTCAGGCTGTCTTCTACCAAACTACTCAAGTAAAATTGTAAATGCTTAGGGGAAAATAAATACAGTTTGCCTATTGACATCAGGATTTTTATTTAATAGCTTGATTCATATCAAAATTTCTCTTCACATATAAATATAAAACGTTTATGATCAGCATGGCAATTCACATTAACTATCTTTTTATGACAGCAACAGAAAGGCCTGCCAGGTATGTATGTGTATTAAAATCCTGTAACAACTAAATAAAGTGCTACTCAGTCAGTCATGGGTATCATAAGGAAACCATATCAACATAATTCACATTATAATATGGAGTTGGTGGTTTTGTTCATAACTAAGGAAGCATAGCTGAATGTCATGGTGGTTTAATCTTTCAAACAGTTAAACTGCCTCAAGAAACGGGCAGAATTTTACAAACTAGAGTGTGTCAGAGTGAGCACGGGTACTTGGTCCAAGCAGGTAGTTTGCCCGTTTCATTCGCCAGTCTCCAGTACCTCTCCTTCAAGATGAATGCTGCTGCTTTGGGCTGCCTTTGCCTGCTGAAGACACCCTTCTTGTTCCCCACCACGCGCATGATCCCTGCAGACACGAGAAGGACCAACAACACCTCGTCACGCACATTGCCCAGAAACACAGGAACCCTTTCAAAACGGCTGCTTCTAAGATTCATACACAGGAACAGATATCTGGATTTTTAGCGAACGCCTAATCACAAAGACGATCTGGTGTAAATCCTGTGATCCAGCTGGAGCCTAATCGTTATTTGCAAATGCGCTGCGAAGGAAGCGAGTTGACATATCAGATTTTCCAAGAAGGCCTGGAAACGGAAACCACAGTAATGAACGTGTACAAAATGGTGCATTCACATAATCCACTGTGTGATTTGTTCCTCGTGCTGCAATAAAATAGCCGAATCAACTTCGGACACGAAGAGGAACAGAGTACCATTAATGTTCTCCAACTGCAGTACCTTGTGTGGTCATGAAGTCTGCAAAGTTCCAGATGAGTTCGCCGATGACGTACTGCTTCCTTTTCTGGTCGAACACGTTGTGGTAGCTCTGCAGGACTAACTTCTGGTACTCCTCAGTAAACATCACGGGTGGATCCTGCAGGGAAAAACGACAGCTAAGACGGGTGTGGGCGGGCTGAGGTCGCTGCAACTCAGATAGTTGGATGTGTGCGAGTCCTCACACTGTGAAGCCCCGGCACCGCATCCGCTCCGTATTCGCTCTGGATGATGGGTTTCTGGTACTTTCCGTACCAGTTCTCAAACTGAGTGTTGAGCTGGATGGGGATGACCTCCGGGTGGCCCGGGTCATGGTACCAGGAGAAGTAACTGTTTACGCAGATGACGTCCACGTAGGGAGCCTGGAGACGACACACAAGACTCAACACGACTCGTAGAGACTCTTCAACACGCCTCACACAGTTGGATCAGTTGCTCGTGAGCGTTCATTGTGAACACGTGATGCCCCCGTTTTGTAGATCAACACATATTTTCATAATGAAGCAGCAGATTTTCTAGTAGTAATAATCAACTCTAATGAGGCGATTACAAACCAGTATTCTCATAACAATAAAGTGAATGTTTTTCATTGTGGAGTGCCGGCTTTCTCCCGTTTGGCCATGATCACAGGTCATCCAGTTATTCGCCCCGAGCTGAATAAACATTATTGATGGGGCGTTTAAATTGGACAAGCGGGTCAGCTCTGTGGTTAAGGCTAGATTCTTTCAGCTTCGGGCTTATAGCCAAAGTCAAACCGTATCTAAACAGGGCTGATCTTGAAAAAGTCATGCATGCTTATATATCTTCGCGTTTGGACTATTGCAACTCCCTGTATGTCGGTATCGGCCAATCAGAACTCTCCGTCTACAGCTTGTGCAGAATGCAGCAGCCCGTCTCCTAACCGGGACAAAGAAGCATGGGCACATAACGCCAGTGCTTTCCTCTCTCCACTGGCTTGATTTTAAGAATCTTTTATTGGTTTTTAAGTCCCTGCATGGACTGGTCCCAGAATATTTATCCAGCCTTATTAAGGTACATCAACCCTGCAGAGCCCTGAGGTCAGCTGACCAGTTGCTTCTGAACGTTCCTTGGTCGTTCCTTAAAACATATGGAGATCGAGCCTTCGCAGTAGCGTCTCCCACACTGTGGAATGCTTTGCCGTTTTCCTGTGCGGTCTGCGACGAGCCTTTCCACTTTTAAAACATGCCTTAAGACCCACTTGTTTACCTTGGCCTTTGGCTGAGTTAAGTCACCTGTATTGGATCTTTTATTTGTTTGCCTTTTACTGTTTTTGCTTTTTTTTTCTTTTTTTCTTTTGCTCGTATTGTTTATTACTGCTGATTATTTTTATCCTGTAAAGCACTTTGGCTGGCCATTGGCCTTTAAAAGTGAGCCATGTCAGCGGGCGGCGGTGGTGTAACTCCCAATGTCACGTAGTTTGACATTGGGTGAATAACACAGCGTGATGACTCGACAGTTCGACGCTCTTAACTTTTTAACAGACATTCATGTGAAAAGCAGCTGAATTATTTTTTTTGGCCCGCTATCAAATCATCTCAAATTTAATGATGCTGAACATTTTTATTGCTGATCTCGGGAAGGATTATCAAAAAATGTAGCGTGCAGTTCAGTCGACTCTTAACTGGCCTTTCATATTTGTTTACATTACCTGTCCAAATTATTCCTCAGATATCAACACCACTTCACAGCACCAATACAAATAATTACTAGTAATGTGCTTTACAGGATTTCACGATTAATAAAACTCACCCCTTTATCCCTGGCATAGTTACTGTCTGTGATAAAAGTGACGGGCCGGGTTGGATCCAATTCTTTGGTATGTTTTATCAAGGTTCTGTAAGAAAAACAAAAGCATGCTTTGGTTATAATTACAGTGTTATATAAACACCGCCACTTTAACCTGTAAAGTATCCGCTTTAGTTTCTTTTACAACTTCAGCGTGCCTGAGGTCTGTGTGTGTGTACCCCACATTTCACCCCCACTGCTTTGCTTAATTGGAACTCCGGTACCTGGGCGGCTTGAGCAGCACTTCCTGAAGCCTCAGGCGATTACTGAGCTCCGGCTGTTTGTGTTCAGGGCAGTTTCATGCCTACTCTTGCTGCATTCCACGCATCAGAATAAAGGATAGGCCTGAAGTGAGTATGCCTAATGGCTGAATAACAAACCGGTATCTCGAATACAAAAAGGTTAAAGCTTCACACTTTATTAATGTTTGACTTTATCCTAACGACTCCATGCGAAGTGAAGGACCTTGAATCCAAAAAGGGGAAGCTAAGTCAGTGTGTGCATAGTGAGAGGATCCATTCACCGCTTCACATCTTAACAAAACCACCAGCACTCACTTGAAATAGTAATCAGCAGGAGGCATCTCTGCAGCCGGCTCATTGGCCACTGACCACATGACCACAGAGGGATGGTTCTTGTCCCGACGTACCAGCTCGTCCATGACGACCAGGTGATGGGTTAAGGAGGCGTTTCCAAAACTGCGACTACAGCAGCAAGGCACAAATATATCAGCATACACCTTGATGGCATTGTTGGAGGAAAAACACCAGTTTTGCCCGTAATTTAAAAAGCTTACAAATTCTCAGCCCAGCACACAAAAAAACACTTTAAACATCTGTATGCAAAAACAGCAAGGAGAGGTCAAAGTGTATTTGTGACCTCACATTTGTTACCGGATGAAATTGCCTACTGTGAACCGTCAAACACCTAAAAAGGTCACAGCGAGGTCAGCGGGGACACTTACATGTCTTTTATGCCCACGCCCGGGCACTCGTCTATCACCACGATGCCATGGCGGTCACACATCTGCAGGATCTCCTCTGCATAAGGGTAGTGGCTGGTGCGGAACGAGTTGGCCCCCAACCACTTCAATAAGTTAAAGTCCTTCACCATGAGGGGCCAGTCCAGGCCTTTGCCTCGAATCTACAACAGAGAAGGACGGCTCAATTGGATTATTGGACTGGGTCCACTTTTTTCAGAAGAGTAAACATGGTGTGAGGATGTTAGATCGCTTTACAGCGGATGGGTCTTTTGGTGAAGGTCTTACTTCCCACTACTGGTACTCACATCAGAGTCCTCGTGTTTATTTACTCCGTGGAAGTAGAAGGGCTTTTTGTTGATGAGGAACTGGGTGCTGGTAACGTCGACCGTGCGGATGCCGACTGGTAGAGTGTACACGTCGTTGGAAGCAGATCCTTCAGCAGCCAGTAAGACAACCTAGATGGGGAAAAAGCAACGGTCAGAGAATCTTTCAGCAGACGCAAGTAGAAGAGGCTTTACTGAATACCCAACAACTGCATTGAGTCCATTTCAAATGGTGCAAAGAAAAATATCAGGCGACCAAGTTAAAGCATTGGTAATTCAAACTGTAAATGCAGTTACATTTTTGAGTCATCATATTGGGATGTGGCTTTTTTTCCTTTTATTGTTTAATTTCCAAGCACTAGTGCTGATTTGAGTCCTCAAGCACAATGTCATTGTTATAAACAATGGTCGCCGTCATAATGCCGACTTCTATCAATAACCGGTTATTCTTTCTCAAGCCAGCTGCCTGATTAACTTCACATATCTAGTGGCAATGCTCATGTGACCCGCACCTCAAAGAGACATGTTGTCTTACCTCCAAAGAGTAAAGGTAACCTGGGTTCTCGTGCATCAAGTACGGCCACCATAAATTGACATCCACGATCTTGAGCACTCCGGACGGCTCGCTGGAGGAGGCAATGCAGTGCCCGCCTTTGTCCATCAAGGTGATCTTGAAGGTGGCCGAGGCGGCATTTTGGACTGATACTTTGTATTTGACAAGGCCTGAGATGAAGGGGAAAGAACACTGAACTATGGCACATAACAGCTCTTTGGTAGTTTACAGAGATGGCATGTAGCTACTCTGAAAGGATTTAAAATCAACCAGTTTCATAATAATCACAAGCATTCATTTACCAGTGTTATCCGAGAAGTCCGTTACCACGGTGATGTCATCCACATAAGCCGTAGGTGTAGTGTACAGCAGTACAGGGCGATGTATGCCAGCATAGTTGAAGAAATCAAAGTAGATGTTTTGCACAAAATAACCCTCAGGATACCTGTTGAGCAATTACATTCTCCTCAGTATCCAAACTGACGAGCAGCATTACACACATTCAATCCCGCACAAGTAGGACATAAACTAGAAATGGTCGCATTTTCAGATAAAAATAAAAACCGCCACGTTTCTATAGAAGCCCAGAAGGGACAAAGCTTACATTGGCTCTAGGAGCAGGTTTCACTGCAGAGTATCATCCGTATTGGAAGGAATGTCAGGACTGTAAGCATTAATAGAACCAAACTGATAAGTGTTTAACAGAAACGTTTCTTACAATTAATTGCAATTGAAGTGAAACCCAAACTGGGTAAGTTTCACTATTAATTCTCATTTGAAGATTAGGACAGATTCCAAAATCTCAATGCATATTTTCAAGATTATTCTACATATTAAGAGATCTAACTACGCAAAATGATTGAAATTCGGTAAGACAACTTCACACATACTTGAAAATCATGTTACAATAACGGCCCCATGCATTTCACATCAGTGGCGTCAGCAAGCAAAACAATAGAGGAAGTTTGATTTAGTCAGCGTTTCACTTCATGATCAAGAAGACTGAGTTTACTTGGTGTGGTCGGTCATGTGCTGGATGACTCCTGGGGGAAGAGTGTCCAGAGACAGAGTGTTGTTGACAGCGATGGTGATCCTGCACGGCTGAGTCGGGTCCTTGCGCAGTAAAGCGCCTATCTCAGCCTCAAAGGGAAGATGCCCCCCTTTATGCTCCGTCACTCTCACCCCATTCACCCACTGCAAAGCGAAGAGACAATCAAAACCAAATCAGCGTGATTATAATCACATTATTACAAGAAGTGGATGATGTAAAATGGATTACATTCTAAAAAGCGGCAAGAAGTAAGGAAGATTACTTTTATTTTTCAAACTGACCGACGTGGACGGGGGAGACACGCATGATACTCACCACTACTGAATAATAGTGAGCACTTCCCACTCTGATAACGACTCTCGTTCCTTTGTCGGCGATCCAGCGGGAAGGCACCACCACCTCCCTCTCATACCAAACCCAGCCAATGAAATCTCTCAGCGTGGGGTCCTGGGTGATGTCATTGTAGCTGGCAGGAACTGGCATGTCAATCACTGGGCCAGTCTGCGGAACATAAAGCATCAATGACGAGGCCATTTTGAAGTTCTGACAGCAGATCTGCCCCGGTGAGCTTGTAGTTTCGGCGACTACTTTAATAATCGGGAATGATGACAACGCCAGTTTGGTCCCAAACTCTGGGTGACGACCCCGCACGATAAATCACAGGTATCACAAGATGTTTAAAAGGAGACTAAGTTGAAATATATTTTTGTTACAATTATGAATGTAGCTTTGGACTTTTTTAAATCTGTGGTATTATAATAAAGGGATCTAGGAACTTGGAGGTGCCTGTGAAACCGATATAAAGTTGGGCATAATTTAGTCTATTTTAATCTTAGTACTATCCAGGAAGAAGTTCTGCTTAAGACTTTAATGTACTTGGCTGTGTATTGTATCCTCTATGCGAAGTAGATGAACTATTACGGTTTTTCATTTTTCAGGATTTTATAAGTTTCAGAATTGCAGTATTTGGATGGAATAGAGATGTGCACATTTTAAATAAATAAATAAAAATCATCCCTCACAATTGCACCTCAGTTTACTACGGTTCATTGATTACTTGCCAATGTCGTCTTTGTACGAAGTAGAAAAGGCCCTTTCAACTTTTAATAAACAGTGATAACATGGCATTTCCCCCTCTGCACAACGGAGAGAATAGTGGTAAAAAACGAATAGAGGTTTTATTGTGTGTGGAAGTATTAATTGTGGGGACAGAAAAAACACTTCATTTGATTTCATTAGTCGACACAAACGCAGTGAGCCGCTGTGCTCGGCCACGATGCCTCGGCCGTGCTCACCTCTGCGAGGCGACTTTTGTACCATGCCGCGTCGAAGCCCTGGTTCCTGTCCGGGGACCTGTCCGCCCTGAAGTTCCACACGCCGTTCAGCTCCTTCACCTCTCGGGAGGAGGACTCCCGGGGGAAGAGCATGCCGGTGTCCAGCAGACATGCCGCTTCAAAGGCAGCGAACAGGCACAAACAACGGAACAGCTTTTCGGGTTTCAGCATTCTGAGCGCAGTGTTGCCAACAAAATTTCTGGAGAAGTTGCTAGTCGATTTGTTGCTAAATGACGTTGTGATGTCACTGCGTGATGATGTCATTACGTAATAACGTAAACCTGCGTTATTACGCAGAGTACAAAATCACGTACGTCAAATCGACTGTCCATCTCGGCAAAAAAAATTGACATTGGTTAGTTTAGATTTGTTTGCTCATTATCATATATTTTTATGTGTACAAGTAATATAAACACAACACATTTTATACGATTGGATATTTTTTAACACAACTAAATTATTGAACAATTGCATATTTTGTTATTAACAAGTAAACCTACACATTCTGAACAAGTATAGTTTTAGCAGTCTTTTGGTAGTTGGTTAACATCAAACTGATGAACAATTATTGCTACAAACTAATAATAGTATATATATGCTATTTTAATGAACAAGCAACTTAACTCAAATAAAGATGTGAGCACTCGGCATCTTTTTCCAGCGGACTGTTGTGCTGCCGACTGCTGCCTGTGCACGAGCCGGGTGCCTGTTGTTGAAGTCTCACAATGCACTTTTGTAGCCAAGCACATGTTATTTTTGTGTCATTTAGGGAAATTTAACCTATTTCTAGGATCTGAGTCACTTTACAAAAGTTCCTCAAAGTGCCAAATATATATTTTTAAATAGTTATTTTTTGCTAGGTGTTGGTTGAAAAAAAAAAGCTTGCAGGGTAGTCTGAAAAGTTGCTGAATCTAGCAACAAAGTTGCTAAGTTGGCAACACTGTCTGGGCGACTCTTCCTGTTACCCAGCAGCTACGCGGGGCCTCTGTGCTGATTTGGTCACGTGGCTGGTTCCAAAGTCATGTGACCGTCATTCTCGCGTCGCCTTCAGGTACAGTCGGAATAACCGATTAAAAGATGAGGATAGCGTCGTTTTTACACATTTTATTGTACTGTAAACATGGGAGATGAAAAGTGAGGGCGATGTGTCTTAAGTAAAATAAAAGCTCTGATAAAATGTCAATGTCGTTAAAAATCAGGCTATTATTTGAATAATCCACAGATCGACATTATACTTTTAGTATTTAAGCGTCCTACCCGGATGCAACAGTGACGCATTTACACCGGATGGCGCCAGACACTCACACAGTCGCACATTTAATAGAACAGAAGCGCGACACGGAAGCCTCAGCTCACTGATAAAGTGTGCAATTAGCAACCACATTGTCTTTTCATACATGCACGTAATCCACAATAGTTTTTCTGATATTCCTACTTATTATTAAAAATGTATTTACCAATGTGCACGTTTTCACTAATTAAATGACGACGACCCTACACACTTTCATTGAAGTGTATCCTTGGGTATCTCTCCCTGATTGTGGGTGCTATATGTTTAGGGCTTTAGGGTGTGTGTACTGTCAGTAAAGTCTACTGCAAAACTATAAACAAAACTATCCACCTTAGTGATGGTAATACTGACTTGTTAATGTGGTAATATTTGGCTGTAAAACCACTAAGCCGCGGTGGTGTTTGGGTTCAGCCTGCGCTGATCATGGAGTAGTTCCACTTGATCTTTGTTGTTTGCCATTCCTCATCTGTCTCCCCCTCATTATCTGCTCTCTCTTCTCTTAAATGGTGAATATTGGCATCAAATTGCCAAGAGTAAACATATTGGGGGTTATAAGAACAAAAGGCTGCTTAGGCGTATAATAATATGTTCACTGCGAGTGTTATTAGTATCATCAGATTTCCTTGTGACTCGATGAAGTCACTAAATGTTAAAAAAAGTAGATAAATGTCAGTTGAAGTAGATTTACCACTTAAAAGTTTACGCTAAAGAGGCTGATAAATGTGTGTGTGTTATGTAATCCAATGTTACTTGCTTATTGCAAATTAATCTAGATTAAAATGTACCATAGTTAGTGTTATTGTATACCAGCACCTTTAATAAAGGATTCGTTTACCTTGTTACATCACTGACTTAATGCACCACCTGGCCAGCGCCACAAGTGACACAAATCAAACACCCCCCATGAAGTGTGGAACTAATATGTGCCTCCAGGTTCTGCCTATCATGCTAAATGATAAAATGCTCAAGGTTGATTCTCCAGCAGGAGACTTCTGCCGTCCCTCTGAAACCTTTCCCCTGAGCGCTCATGAGGCCTTTCTGATGATTTTGAGAATAGTGTTTGATTTCAGCTTAGACGTGTGGAACTTAAGAGACAATTTCTCTTAGTGGGACAGATCAACCAAGTAGACTGGTTAAAGTGGGGCAGATGGCTGCAGACTGGTTATATAATGCTTCGAGAATGGACAAGCAAACAGCAGGACCTGGCGGTTCACTAGTCACATAGAATGCCTCTGAGGTACGTTGAGGACACACAGAAGGAGGAGCTGGAAAATCAATCCATTGTGATTTTGACCTTCAGGGCTTGGGGATGTGATGTTGTTCCACTGGTGTATATGTTGACAATTAATATTATTAATTAACTATTTCTAGACTAAAGGTGTTCTTTAATTGATCAATTATATCATTATTTAACATTCTTTCTTGGTTAAAAAAAATATTTCTTATATATGTCTTTTACTCTATAACCGCCTGATTCCCGTCCAAACCTTTTGTTCTGATTCCTTCTTGGGGAGAATGCTTTTTAAATGAATCAACATAATTGCTTCATTTGACTAAGTGACATACCACAGTTGAAAAACTTTATTCCCAAGAGATAATCAAACCAACCAACCCCTGATTTTTATGCTGTGTGGCTCATAGAAGTACAATTTACTGTAGATCTAAAGTACAAACAAGATAGGTTTAGACATAAAGTGCTTCACATAGTGGCTCATGCAAACAACCCATAGCACTGCCATCGGCCTGAAATGATTGTAAGGTTAATGGGGAGTTCAGTGTTAATATCCTGTTTGAAGTCATTTTCCCACAAGTTAATTGGCAAAGATTCAAAATGAAAATACTTTTAATATCTGGATCCTTTGGCTCCCATGTCAGTGATGCACATGTCTATCCCTTGGGCATAAATTCAATGTTATATAATGCATATTATTTCGACCATATGGTTTGTTGATACGCTGTAAAAACCTAAAGGAACTTTAGTGTGACGCTCTGATGACACCCACTGACTCTCAGTAATTATCCACAACCTGTTCACCGGATTCCACAAGGTCTCAGAGCCAAGGTCTCTGATACCTCTTATTCCTCATATTCTGCTCACATTTTGACATTTGTCCACGTGGTGCAGGTCCCTGCCATAAGTTACCAGATCTTCACCAAGATCTTTGACACATTGTAATTTCTCTGCCAAACACCAAACCGTAATGACTTTTATACCTTTAAGAAAGGGAAGGGAAAGTGTGGTATTCCCTTTTTATCTCAGACATGGTGTGCATTTATTTTTCCATGTACCATCTCTGCAGCCTCTGTGACTCACAGCCGAGCTGTGCTTCAAAATGCTTTGTTGTCCAAACATCTCCTCTGTTCTTTCAGTCTTTTGAAGTTATGTTCCCTTGGATTCTCTATTTCAGAGCAGTTTATGGTTGTGGGAATGTAATTAAGATCTCAATATTTGGAATTAAGAAAAAATGACGGTTAACTAATGGCACAATGTATAAAATTCACTCCAGACTCCCAAATTGCAAGTAGATGCTATCCATCAAAGAGAAGCTGTGCACGTCTCATCTTTATTATATTATGAACAAGTTATTTTCATAGTTGACCTGCTGTTCTTACTTTTGTTGTATTTTTTATTAATACATTTGTTACTCAGACAAAAATAAAAAGCATCTGCAGTGAAACCAGTTCTGAAAAGTGTTTTCCTCCATGCATTATTGATCAGAGAGAAGTAGAAAGGGAGAATAAAGGAACACAACTTCCCTAAGCAAGGGCTTCTGCTGCGCCTGTGTGACCACCAAATGTGAGGAGTGGAAACGGCTTTTGTTTTGACCTAAGCAGACAGGTCAGTAAAATATTAGTTAAAACCACATGGAAAAAAAACCCCTGACAGAACAAGTTTAATTGCTTGTTTAAGGATGACGTGCAGATTGAGTGCAAAGTACATCGGCCTGCAGTTTGCTTTCTTCCTTGATGCTATTCAGTTTTATGGATGAAATGAAGCTGATGATGCTGATGAATATAGAACTCATCAGTGGGAAGGTGATGGCTTTAGATGGGGTTAGCCACATGTGCTGTGGGTCCGTTTATGTAAACCATGTCTAATAATAGTGTTCCACAGTTATTAACAGACGGCTGCTGATTAACTGGTTCCAGCGTAGTGTGGATGTACTTATGGGTTTCCTATTGTGCTCGCTGCATCCTGTCTCTTTTTCATTGTCGAGAGTGTTGGATAAACATTTACGGCTTGATGGCACATCCGAAAAGGACCCTGAATGATGTTGCTGTGCTCCTGAAAGAGGCACGAGCCCCATCAGGGGTTGATTCAGAGGCATGAGCCACAGCAGCGGCTCATTACCGTCCCCAACTCCTGCCCTACCCCCGTCCCCAGTAACGAGGGTATTTTAAGGAGGGTATTTTTGTTGTTCTGCCCATTACAAGGTGAAACCATTCATTGAATGAACCTTGGTGTGTGCTTTCTTCCTGAGTCCACATAGCCGTGCGTCCTCAGTACAGTACACAACATGTGTTGTGTCACAACACTTTGTTTTCAACTTATTTCATCTCATCTCACTCATTATTTTTTATACGTGTATCTAATGCAATAAAACACTTTATAATACCTAATGAGAGAAAAAACTTTACCGCATGTAGTAAATACTGAGTACATATTCATGCCATTACTCTGTGGGAGACCTTCTAAAGACATGTTTTATATGTTATATTACTAATAATCGATTATAAAACATTATATATATTGAACATTATAAATTGGTGGGTTACTATGAGATAAGACGTGATAGGTTGTGTGACCTTTCAGCAAAAGCACAAGGAGAGATTTAGACTTAATAACACCACACATTTGCATCATGTGCAATGGTCTCTGAACCAGAGATGTGAAATGTGTGTGGCAAAGGGAGGAAGCACCAAATAAGGTGTCGCTGCCCTGAGGGCCCTGGGAGG